GGAGCCGGGCCATCGAGAGGTGCTGTATATGATGTACTAGCCATTAAGGCTGTCGACAGAAGATAGAACGGCCACTGCATTGTCGCGAGGACTTAGGGTCTAATCGGATGGTTGTCCACGGATCTTAATGTACATCTAATGGCTCAGTTTAACACCAAGAAGTAGTCTAAAGCTCGATCAACGCTTGGAGTAGTGAGGAGTGAGTACTCGTTAGTAGCGAAAGTGTGGGTCTAGCTAACTGCATCGGTGAAGGAGTACAGGCGACACCAGCAGCAGAGTGCTTCGCCGCACGGATCAAGACTATACCCAGGGCCCAAATACGCTTGAGACGTCGACATAGCATTGGATCCTACACGGGCTTCGAATGATGCAAGGCCATAAAGATGACAACGAAATTGTTCAACTACTTGAAGCGGACAAAGATATCGCGAAGACTGCAAATTACCTGATCCGCCATCAATCACTCCCATTATGGCCGAATGTAGCCTGACGCAAAAGACAAAGATATAAGAAAAGTGGGGCTCACTGCATCTCCTTCCCTACCGCCTCACCAACCTGATCGAACGGCCCAAAAGGATGCTGCTTTCGCTTGAACCCGATCTTCACGCGACCAACACGCTGCATCTTGTCTTCGAACTGAGTCCCGATCCGCAACACAGTCTCTCTGTACATCGTCGCGGTGGTCCAGTCGTAAGAACAGCCGATGATACGCTTCATACCGCCTTCAGAGCCAGCCATGAGGAAGCACACGGGTGGACGCTCGGCGAGAAAGAGCGTTGCAGTCATGTTGCCGGTGTCGACGAGAGTAAAGACGCGTTGCTCCCCTGGGCCAGCAGTCTTCGCTCGTTGTACGAGAGCTGCGACAGCAGGATCGGAAGTCGGATCAACGGGAACGCATTCGCCGTGAACATTGCGATGATGCCTCGACAAGGGACTAGCTGCTGCCTATGAATTGCGACGACAAGATTAGAACGACGTCATTAACAGGACGAGAGCATACATACGGTCCACTTCATGCGCCCAAGCCTGCCACCAAAGATCTGGCTCTCGATCGTGTCCAGGTCCATGTACCCTTCGAAGCCAAAGAACCAACATTGCTGCTCCCAGAACTTGCCAAGAAAGAGAAGGCGTAGAAGCCATGGTGATAGGCCCATGATCACCAGGGAGTAGAGTAGCAAGATGATGCCGATAGTGTTTGTGGGGCCGGGAAAAGCGATAAGCACACATGCAGCGATGAAAATGACACCGCTGAGACGCAACATACCCTTCGCGAGGAAGCGCTTCCAGGAGTCGCGCCGAGTGTGAGCGACAGGTGTAAAAGACTTCCACCGAACGTTCGCAGCCCGACAACCATCAAGAATGATGCTGTCGTCTTCTCCGACACCGGCGATGCCGACATCTTGTGGCAGTATGTCCCAGAGCTTGGCGTTGTACGCGTCGTCCATGGAATGCCAGGGCTGGTCTGGATGTTTGGGCAGCATGCAGATCAGGCGCTCGAGAAGCTGATCGCTGCCGTTCGCAAGAGAGAGTCTGTGAGATGTTAGCAATGTGACGAGTGACTGCAGTTGAGGTACGACATACCGAGCGAACGCCTGGAAAGCAGAATCCGTGCGATCAATCTGTGGCCTGACACGGAGCAAGCCCATCAATGCGTAGCTGTGATCTCCGGGAAGATGCTCCGTGGTGTCGCGGTTATGCAAGCATTCGAGAGCAAGCGTGACCAGCTCGAGCTGGCTGAGAATCAAGTTCCCCTCATAATGGTCGATGAGCTGTGGAGATTAGCTGTCATGCAAATGTCGGTATTAGAGGCCATCTTACCTGTCGCGCAACGTGTGCATCATTTTGCCAGACTCGGGCAGCGAACTGATTCTTTGGCACCTGCAATGGCTGCGACAGATCGCTGTCGCGCACGTAGACGCAGATGTCTTTACCAGCGGGCGCCAAGAGAACTTCGGGGAACGTCCACACTCGGTAGCCCCATTGCTGAAGCATGAGATCAGGTGTGTTGATCTCATAGCGGTTGTTTGCTGGAGGGCACACAGCGATTGCGAGAGATTGCGCGCCTCGAATGACGTCGCATATGCGGTAGACCTCCGAGAGTTGTTAGCGGGTTTACAGCCATATCGACAGGGTTATGTGCTTACGTCTTCCTCGAGCTGGTTGTCGGGCATGCAAGAGCACCCCACCCAGTATGCAATAACGCCGGCATTGCGCGCGGCGACGTCGGCCATTTGATGCAGAACACCGAAATCCTCGGGCGTGTTGAACTGCTCAGCAGTATACGCGATGAAGACGTAGGACAGATTGTGAGCATCATGTTGAGCCAGCCTGCAGATGTCAGAGATGAACTAGAGGTACGGCACTGTTGACCTACCAATCGTCGACCTTGGTGATGATGGCCGGCCTTCCTGCCTCTCGCAAGAAGCAAAGATATCGAGGACGCAGCACACGTTCGGCAACAGGGTTAGCTTGACTCGAAGCATGACCTTGGGGCCTGTGCATCTCGATCGCGTTCTTGGCGACCTTGGGATATCCGAAGTACTGGTATGGCAGGCCATCGTAGCTTCCACCGTTGCGAGATGCGATCTCAGCGGGGCTTGGGCTAGAAATCTAGACGCCGTCAGCTGGGTGATCAAAATGCGGATGGAATGGACTCACAAAGATTGTGATGAAGCAGGATGCGACGAACCACTTGAGACAAAGCATAGGAACATCTTCGCTGGGGATATTGCCATCGTGACGCGAGAAGTCGATGTGATTGAACGGCCAATTTGCCAATCGCATGTAGATGGGCGCAATGTTGCGGATAAACGTTCGTCTGTACGTCGACCCAGTGTTGTTATCGTATATATCGTCGACAGCCTGTACGACGAGCTTGGAGACCTTTCCGTCCCAAGATGAGATGTAACGGTCATCGTAGTCGCCAGTCCATTCGCGGTCAAAGATGTCTCGATGTCGGTGCTGACCAAGCTTCTGGTATGCAAGACCGGGCTTGCGGTAGAAGTTGGGGCGCTCCCATTTCATTGTAGTCCACGGGGAGAAGATATGTGCGTACCCCTTGGGTGCGATCATTCCGTTGCGCTGGATTGCGTTAGTAGGTCCTAGTACCTGGGATTTCAGCTCACATACCTCTATTACTGACTGTCCTAGACGCCTCTGGTTGGCTTCGTGGTCATCTTGGGAGGCAGCGGCATGTCTATACGGTGCGACTTCGCGGACAGACGCCTGAGCGTCATTGCCTATCATCTTCGCCATCGCGTGAGTAATGCTAGGCAAAGCAAGCACACAGTCGATTTATGAAGCTTGACTGCTGGTTGGAATGCTGGAGCGGCGGTTGTTGATACTGTTGATGTGGCTGACGATAATATTCAACTGGTGCCTGTGCATCTATGAGAAAGGCATGGAGAACGGAGAAGCGGGAACGTACTTGAGGCGCGACCGTGGGCTGTGGGTGTGGGACTGGTTGGTGTTGCACAACAACCGCAGGCTTCAGAGAAGTGTTGTTTGGGTCGTAACCACCTCCGTGGTGCGGTTGCGTCTGATGAATGAGGTCAGGTGGGTATCCCAAATCAACAGGACAGAAGCAAAGACGTACCGGATAAAATTGCTGATACTGCGGTACATGCACAAAAGTGTCACTGCCGGGATCGAAGCCACCTCCGTGTCTTCCAGAGAGATTTGGAGGGTAAGCCTTGAGATGGTTAGCGGGTGATCGACGTGGAGGCCGGAGAGTCTTAGTACCATTCAACGTCGGTTTATGAAACTGAGCGGCGGTAGTCTTGAGCATGCCCTTTAGAGACCTTGAGGCCGGCGATCGTGTCTAGTCTTATCAGGTTCAGGTCCGTTAATAGAATGTGGTCAGGTGGCACGAGGGTATAGCGCCTGCCTGGACGCGCGCATTTTTGGAGTCGTTGCTTTTGACTGTATCCTGGACTTCAGCTCAAAATCACCCTTTCTTGGATTGGCCATTCTCTCACATTTGGACCCTCTAACTTCCACTTCACGATATCGTGGCGTTTGGGTGGACCCTGTATGCAGGAGACATGTCCAGAAAGGGTCGAGGCCTTATCGATGCGGCCTTCAGTACCACACGGTGGTGACACTCCATGTGGGTGTCAGTCATCAGACTGGATGTTGTCCATTTCTTGGCTTTGTTGGCGCGGTGGGCGACCTCGGGGACTTTGCATATCGCCTGTCCTAGTCATCTGGTGTGGCTTGAAGCATTGTTCATGCGAATGTACGGTATGCGGGGCTTGCCGCCTCTTAAACGAGCGCCATGCAAACGGTGAAGAACTTGAAGTTTTGAGTTGAAGTTGAGATCTGTAGGAGCATACACAGCCTACGCATCACGAAAGACGTTCGCGAAACGAGTTTGTGTTCTTCGAAGGCGTGCCTGCACCTGGTAGGTGTAGCAGCAACATCCGCCAGGCGCAGAAAGCTGTGTGATGTATCGTCCTTGGTGCACTCGAATACCAACGGATCTTGTTGTCAATTGAACTTGACAGATACCGCTTTTCGCATTGTCGCGTACAGTACCATTTCGAGGGGCTCGGCTGTTTACCAGCTGCCATCTTGGCAGACTCAGCCTTGCGCCACCAATAGCGTAGCGCTGACGGCCTCTGCCGATAGGCTCGCTCGGACACTCCCTTCAGCTCTTGAAATTGCGTTTACCGCTTCGGACCAAAGCTGAAAAACGCCAAGTGCAGAACCGCTGGCCCATGGCCGCATGTTCCTATGCATCACACCATGAGAGCGATGCTAGGCTGATTTTCGCTTGACAGGGTGCGCGGTTACGGTTTCGTCGAAACCAGTGGCGCTGGCTTTGCCCGCATGATTGACTGGGGCTGATAAACGAGCAGTGCAATCGGATAAACGCCCTCGTGTTGCCGTGATCGATTGAGTGTCCAAGTAGTGTCGGCAAGTGCTGGACTGTGTCGAGGACTTCGTGCAAGTCAAAGTTCTTGTTCTTTTACTGTCGCATCTGGACTGCAATGATACCAATGAAGAAGACAACCTTGTCCCGGCAACTGAATGCCGATAGCAAGCCCTTTGACGAGTTCCGGAGAAGAGCTGTCGCAGCTGCGGCGAAGTATCCAGAAGCGATACATGCTGATATGACACTGGACCTTTGCGAATGGCTTGATGGCGCGGACGAAGGTGTAGAAGAGCATGGCCTGAAGTCCGCACAAGATCTTGAGGCGGAAAGCAAAGGCGTCGTTCGAGTGATGTGAGTATCCTTGCGAGAGAAGGCCGAGTTGCTAATGATCATAGCTTTGCCCCACGAGACGTACCCACACCAGGCGCGGAACTACTGCTTGAGTTGTTCGAGACATGCGGTATCCCAAGCGCCTTCGTCGATGAGAGCCTGCGAGCGGTTTCGCAATCATTCGCAGCGCGCGAAGACGCCGATGGCACTACTTGGATCTGGTTCCACCTCTTGTGCAAAACGTTAGCAGTGGTCGAGAACAGGATCGTGCCGGACGACGACCCTGCAGAGATCGAGAGCAAACAAGCAAAGAGTCGACAGTCGGCGCCAGCTCAAAGTCAGGCGAACTTCTCTTGGATCAAGCCTGGTATTGTGCTGAAGATTCGGAAGCAGTCAGATACTCCGCCTACGCCGGTACGGACCTCAACTTCAGACAGCGACACGACATTGGCACCCACTTCAACCCAAGCCAGGGTAGAGCTGATATGTTTCGGCGCACCCAGCACCCTACGGGACCGAATTCGGGCACTGACGAAGACGACATCGTGCGAGGCATTGCTGGAAGATCCGCATATGCTGCTCGAGCTCGTGTTCGAGGAGATGTATAAGCTCCTGGACTGGACAGCCTGGGCTGTGTCGGATACGTTCGGGCCTTTGGAGACGGTGCGTGCGCTCCTTTTTCGACCAAGTGTCATGCTAATGTACTGTCAGCAAACCTTAGGGATAGCCAGTAGGGTCGGGAAAGCGACAGAGGAACTGCCAAAGGACCTCTTCACCGGGCTCCACAACCTGGCCAAGCATGCCATATACCTCCACGAGAACTGTGAAGCAGCATTAGCCACACTAAACGATCTGTATACCCATAATACAGCGCTGATGGGCACTGGCTCGAGCACCTTGCAGAGACAAACCCGAGAGGCACTCAAATATCGACAGACTCTATTCGAATCGACGCAGCGACGGCTGACAAGTCTCAATGCGCGGATCTCGAACATCATCGGCTTATCGTTCAACATCGTCACGCAGGGCGATAGCAAATTGATGCAGTCGGAGAACCAGAGTATGAAGACAATCGCCGTCATGACGCTATGGTTCATGCCGCTAGGCACGGTAGCTTCCATCTTCGGTAGCCAGTTCATGAAGCTGCAGGATGAGTGGCCGCATCATATTACCGTCTCGCAGGACTTTTGGCTGATGTGGGGTATGTGAACTGCCACGACCTGCTCGTAAGACGCGCGCTGATCCTTTGTCGCAGTCATCGCGGTTCCTTTGACCCTCGCGGTCCTGTTGAGTAAGTGCAACCCGGATCCGGGGCCGCTGAAGACGTGTACTGACCTAACCGGCAGTTTGGCGGGTGTGGTACATGGACGCGAGGCACAGATTGATAGACGGAGTAGAAAAGAAGCAGGGTGAGCATGGCTATATGGGGTGGAAGACGTTACCACAGACGTTGCGCAGAGGAAGGGCGAGAAAGAGCGTGCCCGATGTGTGAGCCCCTGGGTGCAAGGCCGATGACGTAATCTGGGCGGAGCGACCTCGGCAGCCGCCGCTAGACGTATCCTTTCATTGGAATGAAACAATACAACCACGATCTTGGGATGGGACGACAACGTCATTTAGTCGTTTCTCGTCCACCTGAAACGAGCGATGAGCCCATGCGTCCCGTAACCCCATCAGCGCGTACTCCCGAGTCGCAGCTGTCATTAGAATCGGACCTCGGGATGGATTAATGAGAGAGCATACACCCGCCACTACTTCTGCCACGCAATATCCCCATCTCCACTACCCTCACATCAACCCATGATCCAAACCCAACCCCACCATCGCCTCCCCATCCCTCTGCGCAATATCCACCGCCCCACTAACCTCAATAAAGTCCTCCAACTCCTCACTCGTAGTCTTCAGTTTCTCCTTCACAGCCGTCACCCCCTCCGTACCCACAATATGCCTTGCAGGAGGATTATCATGCCCCCCAATCGCCGTAAGCGCATGCACAGTCTCCGCAATCAAATTGCTCTTAACCCCCACCGGCAACGGCGCATACAAACTCGTCACCGTATCTGAACTCAACAAATCGCCCATGGTGGGCTCTGCATCTGGATTGGTGTCTGACATTACGCTTTCGTCTCCGGGGGATTTCGTTGTGTTTGTGTTTTCGTCGAAGGGGGGATGGGCAGACGGGTTGTCGATTCTTTCTAGTTTGTCGAGGAGACCAGAGAAGATTTCTCGGGCTAGGGGCGCGGGGTTCTCGCCTTGCAGGTATTCGGACATGGGGGGCACGGAGGTTATTCGGTTGGTGAGGACGTTGACTTCCATGTTGGCTTGGACGAGGGACATTTTTACGTTGAAGGGGGCGATTTCGTAGGCGAGGCTCTGGGTAATGTTAATTAGGGCGGTAGCAACGGCGAAGATAGTGCTTTCGTACGTCGCAGTAGCCTTCGACTGCCCATTGAGAAGAGCAGTACATGCCTAGACCGGGTGTTCCCAGATGGCCAGCTGGGAAGGGTCAGATAAGGAAATCTTCGAATGGTGATGGTGACTCACTAATACCAGTTATCACGATGATGTGACCATTTTTCCGTTCGCGCATGATCGGAAGTACGGCTTTGATGATGTTGACGTTCGCGAAGAAGTTGATCTCAAAGATCTCGTCGACCAGACTTCTTGTCCGGCTAGTCTGCGCAAGTTCCTCTACGGAGCCGATCACAGCTATATGAATGACATGTCAGTTTCACCTGGGGAAGCAGGGCAGGATCGCAACCTTCGCTCGCAGCGCACAACAACACGTCGATGCGCCCAAACGCCTCCACAGCCTCAGCAACAGCTGCTTGACATTGGCCGACCACCCTACAAAACAAAGCCGTCAGCAATGCGCAACACCTCACGATAAATACCGGTATCAGATACTCACCTACTATCCAACCCAACAACCCTCAAATGCTCGCGCCATCGGTCCGTCCCCTTCACATCCTCCAAAAACGTCCGAAAATCCTCACTCTGGCCTTCTCTCTTCTCAAACTCCAGCGGCATAACACCCGCAACAACATAATCGCCATGTTCGAGCACTTGTCGCGCTAACGCGATGGCAATAGGCGATGCGCCTCTTGTGATGAACCAAACGCGCGGAGCATTGTGGGGCGGGAAATGCGGCGACTTTGGCCGTGGCGGCTTCGACGACGCTGATAATGGCGCATTGCTTGTCATGTCGGGGTAAGAAGGGATGGTGTGCACCTCATGTTGACTGGCGCGTCTTCATGCTGCGGCGATGGGATGCGCGGTGGAGACCGGGTATGTGGGGCAAGGAGGGCGTAACGCCGCTAGTGGTGAGCGTTAGCGTGGTCGAAAATGACTGAACGAGCAGAAACACCATCACGAATTTGCCAAGACTTTGAGATAACGCGCATTGCATAGTCATATCCAGTGTAATCTTGAAGCAGTACACACAAAGTTACTAGGGATCACTCTTCTGTTATCGCTCTAACATCCAACCTCAATCCACCTCCTTAACACCCACAAAAGCCGCCCTTTCACCTTCACTTCAGGTATGTCAACTCAGTCGTCATCGGCTGGCCATGTACCAGCCTCCTCGATTAGAACTCTTCTCGTTACTCCCAGCCTCCTGCCGCACAAATGAAGCAGAGTCTTCAGCTCCTTCGGTCTCAAATCTTTCTCTCCAACCTACACTCAACTACTACACTCCATTTCCATAATTCTTCAAACAATTCCCCAAAAGCACTTCTTTCCATACATTCAAAAATCACACCATTTACAGCATGAGTCTGCTACTAGACCAGTTCACCAACCACTGGACTGACCAGTTTCCGGACTACAGCAATCAAACCACCCATACTCTGCCTTCAGACGGCACTGTCCAGTTTGATCTGGCAAAGTGGTTGGCGAACGCCCAAGAAGAGCTACGAGTTGAAGAAGAGCGCTGGCTCGCTGACGACTTCGACATCAACGAGCCTGCTCCGCGACCGGTCAAGATCCGAGCTAGAGACTCTGCGCAGTGGATCAAGAAAGACAACCGCAACTTCACTGGCCGTCGCAAGCGTAGACGTGAACTCCCTGTTCCGCGCGCCTTCAACAAGCCCTTCTCCCTGATGCAGCACCAACGCCATTCCATCCACCTCATGGGCAGGGTCCTCAACGTCCGCACCAATGGATCGCCGTTCACGCTCGTCCTTGATGACCTCAATCAGCGTGCCGACATCTTTATAAGCGAGATCACCCGCCGCGCACTCTCTCGCAACGTCAACGTCGTCTTCGTCACATTCGAGTCTGGTCAGGCCATGGCACCAATCCGCACGGTCCAGGGCTTCGGCATGACGAGCGGCGAGATCCTGAAGGCTTTGCGCAAGGCCATGGATGATGCCAAAGAGAGCATCGTCGTCATCGACAACCTCCACGAGCTCCTCTACACTTACGGCGTCGACATGACCGCGCTGTTCCAGCTCGTCGTCCACAAGTACGCTTCCACGCTCGTCGGCATCTACCACCAAGACCTGCTCGACAACCCAACCGAGTCACCATACGCCCCACAACCCCTGGAGCTGATCAAGTACATGGCCACCTCCATCATAACCTGCAAGTCCTTCGCCCACTGCCTCGCCGCCAAAGCCGCCGCCGAGCGCAGCCTGCCCGAGCCCACCTGGGGCATGCTGGAAGCCGCCGAAGGCATCATCCAAGACCTCGACGCCAACGACAACCGCGGCATCGTCATGGAAGCAGAGTTCCGCCGCAAATCCGGCAAGCCAGAGGGCGAGACGTACTTCCTCCGCACGCCTCGTCCAGAAGACTACCACGACCCCATGCCTGGCATCCCCAACGGCACTCTCAAGCAGGAGTACGTCATCCTCCTCGATATGCAGCCCGCATACGCCGGTAACGTGTCTGGCCTTATCCAAGATGCCGCTGAGAACCCCAACTCGACTTTCAACCTTGCTCTCACGGAGAAGCAGAAGCAGGCCCGTGAGGAGGTCGTGCTGCCTTACTTTGATGCGCAGAAGGGTGAGGGTGCTGGTGAGGGTGGTCGCATTCTGTATGACATGGGCTCTGAGGATGACTTTGACGAGGAGGAGGATGAGATCTGAGGAAGCTTAGATTGTCATCGGTTTGAGCGCTGGTCGCAGGTTTGAGTTGAGCTTCTGAGATACCCTGTCTGGTAGGGCGACGGCGTTATGGCAATCATTGATGGGAGAGCGAGATGCGCGATGCGCAGGCAATGAGATGAGAGCACACTGCGAGAAAGCTCTTGCCTTCCATTGGGAGACGGTCTTACAGACGGATGGTGTTGCGTCTTCTCAAGATGCGGCAGCCATAGATGACGAATAACATGATAAAATCAATCAATAATGCGCTTTGCCTTACACAAGTGAAGTGATACTCTGCCTACTGACCTAGCTCTTCGACCTCCACGTATCGTGATTGAGCCTCGCGCATAAACTGCACCTTGGTAGAGCCTAACCCTCAGCCTTGGCGCCCAAACTCCCCCAACTCACCAAACAATTCCCTTGCGCCAGCCACACCCACACCCCCCACACCCCCCTCCACACCATGGCAGACAACGAGCGACCACGCGCAGCCTACAGCGACCCCTTCGAGCGCGACACCCGGCGCGCACCCCGCGAAAGCCGCGATCGAGGCGGCACACCCACCGAGCGCCGCGGCAACCGCTCGCGCAGTCCGCAAGAGCGCGGCGCCCGACGCGACAACCGGTACCGCTCGAGATCGCCGTTCCGCAAAGACGAGCGCGACGGTGCAGCCAGGGGAGGACGAGGGCGCGGACGTGGTCACGACCGTGGACGGGGCCGCGACGACAGGAGAGGAGGTGGAGGTGGACGAGACGAGCGCCCCAACTTCCGCGACCGCTCACCCCAACCACCCAAAGGACCTCGCAGCGACAACGCGCCTCCTGCTCGCAGTGCCCGACCTCCCCCAACAGGTCCCCGTTCCTCCACCGTCGACCCCATCAACCCCATCAAGAAAGAAGAAGAAGCCTCACCCGACGTCGAGATGAAAGATGAGCGCCAGAAGCCGGCAGACATGGACGACGACGAGTGGGAGATGCTGAAGATTATGGGGTTCGGCGGGTTCAAAAGCACGAAGAACACAAAGGTACCCGGGAACGATAAGAACTTTGGAGTGAGGAAGGATAAGCAGTTGCAGGCTAGGCAGTATATGAATCGGCAGGGTGGATTTAATAGGCC